GCCAGGCTGGAGTGGACTGTGTCCAGCAGTGAGGGCTGCCCAGCAGGTCGGGGCTCTTCCCCCTGTGCCTTCCTTCGTGGAAGGCCTCTGGAGCCAGCAGACCCCAGCCCTGCTCCCCCGACCCATGTGCCTGCATGCAGCTAATTGCGTCTGATGGCTGGCGCCAGGGTGCAGCTGCAGGCACCAGTGCTGAGAGAAGGATGCACACCACTTTCCTAGCTCATTAAAGAGCTGGCCGCAGTTCAGCGAAGCGGTGCCCATTTGTCCTCTCTCTCCTTTTCATTTTAATTGTCAGAGAGGGACAGTCAGTTTGTTCTGCAGAAGGGAAAGCGGGACAGGAAAAATCCCGATGGAATGGAGGCAGCTGTTAAAAAGAGAAATCACTACAACAGACCTGAAAGGCAGTGGCTGCAGCGTGCACTCATCTACACAGAGAACCATGAAACCAACACCAGGGAGAGCTACTGAAGTTCAGATAGTGAAAAACAAAGCATTGAAGTGCTTAAACCAGTAGGTCAAGGATGTGGCCCATCTGCTTAATGCCTTAGTTTCGCCCAGGACCAGGCATAATGGTACAGCAAGGACCTCAGTGCTTGGTTTGTTTCTGTTAAGTGATACAGTCTCTCTTCTAGTCCGGAGGACGAGACGTTATTAGCTCAGTGCTGCATGCCACCACCTCTAGCACAGTACAGCGTTCTCAGAGGTTTTCCAAAGGCCTTTTGATTAAGAACAAAATCAAAGATGTTCTACTCTTTAGCTTGCACTGCTGATGTAAACTATTCCTATTTGGTATGCATCTAAATAGTGAGCAGAACTGGGAAGGGTATTAGAATTAGAATGGGAAGCAAATTGAAAAGTGTTATAAAGATTTGAGCTGCAGGCACTGTGGGTTAGCAAAAGGAGGTTGTTAATTATGATGAAGTTCTTTACCTAGAAGGGAAAATAAATGTAAGTACAAAGTAGGCATATAGAACAAACTGAATACGCGTTCCTCTGCTGTCCTTCATATCATCTAAAACCTGTTAGTTCTTTTAAAAACCAGAGTACTTACAGGAAGGCAGAGGAGACAATCTGAAGGGTGTTCCAGAGGGGATGTAGGGCACAGCATTGTTTTTCAGTTCTCATCTACCTCTAATGCCTCTTCATATTACAACGTTTGGGGGTTAACTGGAAAGTTATCCCTCTTGCTAAACAAGATTGACTCTTTGGAAACGTGCAGGCTGGTTCCTGCTGGCTTCATGGTCTGCAAGTGCACCT